AACTTAGAGTGGTTACAATCATCTGGGTTTAAATCGCGCTCAAAATGATTTGATATTTACACTGAAGCTGCAGTGGTAAGGGGCATGTCATTTCCCGACCAGGCGCTGAGTGGTGCCAATCACAACACACATTGGCCCAGCTAACCAATCACAGCACACACTGGCCCAGCTAACCAATCACAGCACATTTCGTATTTCAGAAAGCGGGCCTTCATTTGATATAGGAACTATTCGAGCCGTTCATGCCAGACTGGGGAGAGAGGTGTTGTAATAATGTAAAATATGTGAAAAATAATGTGTTTTTCGAACAACCTAGTATGAGAGCCTGTTCTAGTACACCCTCAAAACAAAATCAAGACTTTGTAAAAGAGCATAATAGGACCCCTTTAAGACTTATTTAATCTGCATATAAAACATAAGAAAGGAGAATTTTATTTTGTGTTTGACTGTAAAAAAAAACAACATATATACTGTATATAAATATATTTGTTGTTTGTCTCAAAGTGGGAAAATTAAAAATACAGTGGTTAAATTTAAACACTTTTTTCTTTTGCTCTGTTTTAAAAAAGGTTATAAAAAATGTCAATAATTATCGATACCGAACGATATGAAAAATATATTGTTGATATATTTTTAGCTATATCGTTCAGCCCTATGTTATTGTACTATTAACATCAACATTGTGATCTCCTGTAGAGCAGATTTGAAGCAATGTGTATTGTGTAACGTTATACAAATAAATATGAATTGACTCAACTTTACATATTCAGTGACTCTTTCTCTATATACTCCCAATGACCCTTTAGTCTGAAAAACAAAAACCTGATGTAGATCCCAGAGATTCCAGAGTACACCAGAGACATGTCAGGGTGAAATATTCTGCCTCCAGTCTGAATGGGAGGGTGTTTGGTGATTCTTGATAAGAGGAAATACCTCAGAATTGGCTGTGATCATATCCTGACAGGACTTCTCACCTCTGACTGTGGGACTGTTTCATTTTGGAATGTTTATTCTTTCCTCTTAACTTGGTTTACTAAATTAACTAGTTCCAACTGACATACAAAGTCAATTGCCCGAATTCCTAACCATAATGGAGTTGTACACTGTGGAAAAAAAGAGGTTTAGAATTTACCTTGAAACAATCTTCACTCAGAAATTGCTAGTAAATTGCACTCATAATGTCAAAGAAAGAGTAACACACTGAATTAAACTTCTCTGAAGTTCCAAAATTGAAATAGTGTTTTCTTATAAAAAGTTTAATTTACAACTTTGAATATTTTTACAGTGTATTTGATTATAGAGACACTGCTTGCTTTGTGTGCAAATATTTTGCTCTTTTTATGGATATATTTAGGCATGTTAAAAATGCGAAGAAAAAAAAAGACATATGAGCAAGTGTAATGGGGGCCCTCTGTCTTGCAAGTAATTTTCTTTTGGTGTTTGGCATTTCTTCCACGTGGAGAAGAACTGTGCAGGAGGAAGTGGAGAACAGTAGTGTGACTCATCACTGTGGGTTTGATTTCAACAGATGTTATTCCAGACTCTGCTCTGCTCCGCATGCCTCCCAGCTTTAGTAATCTCCTTAGAGGCGAGCCATTGCTGAAAAACAGGGCCTGGATGTTTCTCTCTGTGTCTTTCTCTTGTCATGCTGCCTTTGGCTCGAGCACAGGAATTAGGATTCATCACACATTATTATATGGATCTCTGGAATACTTTATTCTGAATGGTCATGTGTGCCAATGTGTACTTTTGTGTAAGCAATAATTCAGTGCTGTCCATACTTTTAGCATTTTATACTCTCTCATTTTTAGAACTCTCTCTCTCTCTCTCTCTCTCGGTCTGTCTGTCTATCTTAAAGAGAGAACTTACAATAGAGAAAGACGTTGTATATACGTTGTATTGTATATAATATTATTGCCGTTTTCAACAGCTTTCAAATTTTTTTACATGTAAATAGAAGCTTTAACTTTTGAATAGCTTTAAAATAAACAGGATACATTTGCATTTTGGATGCATTTTGTTGACTACACATTAATCCTTTATTTATAGAATAACTATATTAGACGTGAGAAATCTCAAGTCATTAATGAATATGAAACTTCTAAATATGAAATTGTAAATATGAAATACTTAGTTCCTTTGTATTTATGCAAAGTTACTGATCAAGAAAAGAAACTCTTTTGATGTTAGATTTCATTATTAATAACAAATCCCATCCTCTCCTCCTCAGTTCCCAGAATGTGGATTCTTTGGCTTGTACGATAAGATCTTGCTCTTCCGCCATGATCTGAACTCAGACAACATCCTCCAGCGGCTAACATCGGCAGAGGATATCCATGAGGGAGATCTGATTGAGGTTGTCCTGTCCGGTGAGTTGTGCTAGCTGTGGCTTTATTAATATATACACTCACTTTTGGGTCAAATATGGATTAACCCAACTGTTGGGTTAAAAAGTTAATTTAAAAATGTAACCAAAATTTAACCCAACAGTTGGGTTAGTCCATATTTGTCCCAAAATTGGGTTAAAACAACCCAGCATTTTTTATAGTGTAGACAATGCATTGTACGGGAAAAAGTAAGACATTAAAACAACACCATCACCATTACTGTTCTCATAAACTAACTCATGTATTTTATTAATTATACACAACCATTCAGCCATTGGGTTCAGTGAGTTTTTTTGAAAGAAATTAATACTTATATTCAGCAAGAACGCATTAATTTGATCAAAATAGTAATTTTCACAACAAAACATTCATTTTTAGTAATAATCATTAAGACATTGTAACGGGCCTGACAAGACGTGAGACGTGCGGATCCATATGCAAGCTTTATTTTGGAAAAGACAGAGACGTGGTCATGAAACAGGCAGGGGTCAGATAAAGGCAGACAGGTATATGGCGGGCAAAACACAAGAATAATCCTAGGGCTAGCGTGGGTCGACGATTGGCAGACAGAGTCACAGGGGCAAGGCTAAAGGGAGAAATCCAGGAAAACAGGCGAAGATCAAAACCGGAGAAAACAGACAAGGCGAGGCAAAACTAGGCTAAGGCTGGGGCTGGGTGTTTTTTTTACTTCTATTTATTAAAAAATCCTGGGGAAAAAAATCACAGTTTCCACAAAAATGTAAAGCAGAACAGCTGTTTTCAACACAGATACAACTTTCTTGAGCAGCAAATCAGCATATTGGATGAGTTCTGAAGGATCATGTGACACTGAAGACTGTAGTAATGATACTGAAAATTCAGCTGCGCATCACAGGAATAAACTGTGCTTTATAATATATTTAAATATAATTTAAAAAATAATAATATTTCACATTATTGTAGTTTTACTGTATTTTTGATCAAATAAATGCAGCCTTGGTGAGCATAAGAGATTTCATTTAAAAATGTAAAAAAATCTTACCAACCCCAAATTAGTGTGTATGGACAATATTGGGTCGATATTAACTAACAAGATGTTTTATCAGAAGCAGCAGAATGGTGACATTTTTTGTAACCTTGTAAAGGGTACTGTGAATAAAAATACCATTTAAAATTTCCATTTAGGGATGACAAATAAAGAACCATGCAGCTACAATACAGGAGCTTCAGGTCATCTTGACTGTAGTTTATGTTCTTTAAATTATGCAATCACTTATAGCTTTGCAGCTGGTTACACTGATGGCCGTATATTGCTAGCATCTCTGCAATACGGAACAGATCAGTTTAAGTCTGTAATTAGATTGTAGTCGGGTGGCACATGTGTACCAGATGGAGGGGCCCGTTAATCTAGTCATTGTGAACTTCAGGTGGTTTCCCTTCAAATGCCTGTGAACACAGGCAGGTCAATTCCCTTGAGGCCGCTATCACGATCAATTTTTCTAATTTCACCACATGCTCAATGTACAGAGCCATGTGTTGAAAGATTTATGGCTTAAGGGTTCTGTTTACTTGACAAGAACAAGTGACTTTGTCAGATACATTTATGTAATAAATATGTTGCATCGCGAACTATTCAGTTCTGCTGTCACTTAGTGCAGTAAGGCCCTAACACTTAGGGTTTGAGCTCATCTTTGTTCCCGTGCAGAATGGTTTGTACATCCTGTGTAGGCCTTCACTATGAAGACTGATCTTCCTGTCGTTGGTGTGTTCACATGGGAGCTGTACAGCACACCTGCTCTTCACATCCTCCTCACTCAATGGCAAACACACACATTCAAGTGTCCGGCACTGGAAATCAACACAATATGCATGATTGATTCCAAGCCAGTATTCTGGATTGTTCCGTCTAAAGTCCCAAGTGCTTTCCCAGAACTCAGATCCTTATTCATGAAAGTTTTCCTGAGGTTATTGAACCTGAACACATTGGGACTTTATTGTGCTCTGAACACATTGGGCCTCATTCACGAAACACGAGCAGAACAAATTTTTGTGTAAATGGTTCGTAAAGCCATTCTGACGTAAACTTTCGAATTCATGAAAATTTTCAATATTTAGACATTTTCGTATTTTCAAAATGTTAGTTGAGTCAGCGCTGATGACCTCGTGGGCAGCACGCCGACATGTGTAGCGCCTTTGCGCTTCGGGCGACCAGAGTTTGAGTCCCGGCTCGTGGACCTTTCCCGAACCCACCCCCCTCTCTCTCGCACCCACTTCGCTTTCCTGTCGACCTACTGTCCTATCTAAATAAAAGGCATAAAACGCCAAAAATAATTCTTAAAAAAAATATATATAAATAAATAAAAAAATGTTAGTTGATACGAAAGAAATGTACACCTGCTCCCTACCATGTCTAAATGGTGCGTAAAACGTTCTGTGTTCTTTTTGGCAAACTGATGAAACTTAATTTTGATGCACTGCCATAATAAATAGTAATAAAAAGTTCATTTGCCCTTGCCCTCTTTTTGAATTTTTTTATTTTTGAATTTTTAATTTATTGATTAATTGATTTTATTTTTCTAAAAAAAAATATATATAAATAAATAAAAAAATGTTAGTTGATACGAAAGAAATGTACACCTGCTCCCTACCATGTCTAAATGGTGCGTAAAACGTTCTGTGTTCTTTTTGGCAAACTGATGAAACTTAATTTTGATGCACTGCCATAATAAATAGTAATAAAAAGTTCATTTGCCCTTGCCCTCTTTTTGAATTTTTTTATTTTTGAATTTTTAATTTATTGATTAATTGATTTTATTTTTTTGCAGCTGAGTTGATAATTGTAAATTAGCGCGCAGCGCTCGTCACTGTCACTATTTACCCAGCTGTAAATAGAGGAGGGGCTGGAGTCGTGACAAATACCTAACCATCCTACTTGTACAACGACTGCCTACAACGATGGAGAAGTCAATATTACTGGTTACTGCTTTATTATATTTAGTAAAATTCTTAAAAATGAGATACTAGTAGGCTAATACGTTGCCGCCATTAATATTCCATACCATAGCAACTAAAGCGTCTCAGCTGAAAAAACGCTGTGCCACCAAAGCGCTCTCATGCGCCACCAGCTGGTTGTTTTAAGAAGAGCACCTGACATTTTTTCAGCTGGCTAAATAATAAATACATTATTGAATATTTATTGTTAGGCATATGGCCTAGTCTTTTTTGCATTTATGCAATATACTGGAGCCAAACCTGATAAAGTAGACCAGAATATTCCACTGCGTTCCTGGACACGCAATTTGCGTAGCTGTCATTTATAGGCGGGGATTATGCTAATTGTGAATGAGCGTGCACAAGCGCCCCATTACGAATGATTGGAATTAATTAACATACACATGTTTAACTATCAAATTGGACGTTTACGAAGAGTTTGTGAATCCGGAGGAGAGTTTTCGGGAAGGTCTGTTTTGTGCACAAATTACTCAGAATTTACTCATATATTTACGTATTGACGTCATGCTGTGCAGAGTCTTATTAAAAACCTATATTCAACACGTAACAAATTACAATGCATCTAAAATGTAAAAACATACAATCTACACTTTCCTGCAGCACTGCAGTTTTAAATGTATGTTCTTTTAATTTAGATAGGAGGTACAAATTACAAGATGGCGCCGACGCTGATGGCTGCCTCCGTGGCGTGCTCCGCAGTTGTTTTTATGTTTTTGTTAGTTTGTCATGTCTTTAGTTTTTCCCTGCAATCAGTTTCACTAGAGACGAATTGCTGGACATTAGGAAATACACACCACCCGATATTTCACCTAGCATCCATCTGGCGAACCTCCGCTCTCTACCCAACAAAACAGACGAACTCCTTCTGCTCTCCCAGACAAATAAGGATTTTTCTAACTCTGCTGCTCTGTGTTTCACGGAAACCTGGCTGAAAGACGCCATTCCGGACAGCGCGTTGAGTCTGCCGGGTTTTCAGCTGTTCAGAGTGGACCGCGACGCAGAATCAACAGGGAAATCGCGCGGCGGCGGGACATGTTTTTACATCAATGAGAGGGCACATAATATACAGTACCTGTACATACAAAAAAACCTGTCTATTGTAATATACATGCACACACAATTGCCAATTTATATATTTTTATTCCTTATTTACTTTTTTACTATTTTTATTTTTATTATCTGTGTTTTTTGTTCTGTCACTGTCATTCTGTTACACTGTGGAAGCTTCTGTCACGAAAACAAATTCCTCGTATGTGTAAACATACCTGGCAATAAAGCTCATTCTGATTCTGATGCTGTGACGCATTGATTTGCCGTTGGTCACACGGTATCACGTGATGTGAATTCGCAGGCCAGAGTTCACCAAGCTTGAACTTTAGAATGCAGCGAAATGCGTTTCTGGTCTGTCGCATTCGCATGCGTATGAATGGAAGTCAATGAAACGAAAAGTGCAGTGTGACCGCCCCTTCAGGCAAGCGGTCTGGAGTGATGCTCGGTTCACGAACGAATCGTTCTTTTGAACCGGTTCGTTTTGTTGAACTAGATTTAACCAGTTCACCAAATCCGACTGAATCGTCTGAAACAGTTATTGGCTCAAGCAGCACGGATCAACAAGTTCCAAACTCACTTTTGGACGCCTGACATTCACTCAGACTCGAAATGAGCCAAAATGCTAGCGAATATGATGCTGTGATGCTGGTTTTTGCCAACTCGTGCAACGCTCCCGTTCCTCCAACAGTCACTAAACTGAGGAAACAATTCAGACTTTGACCGAAGAACTGATGAGCTGCTGATCTGCGCATGTGTGAACCGAACACTTGAATGAAGGGGTGAAATAAAAGTTTTAATGGTTTCTCATTATTTATGCAAAAGGGTCAGCTGATGAAGACTAGTTTATTCACTTTATATGCTTTAGACATGTAAAACTTCCACATTTCACATCATTATTGTGTGCTTTAAAAATAAAATTAAGTATACCTTATATGCGTTAC